TGTAGTAAGTAGAGGATGGAATGGAAGTAACAGAACGCTGGGGAGTTTAGAGAAGAAGACAGGATGGACATGCCCAGCTTGGCAGCTTCCTCCACTCTCCCAGAATTATTTTCCTCCATTCCTCTTTGAGGATTTAAGCTTACAGGGAGGCTCTGTCCTAGGGAGGGAGAGGCCTGCAGTTGTGTGTGTGTGTGTGTGTGTGTGTGTGCGCGCCCGCGTGCACGAGTGCTCTCGCGGTGGAGGTGGGGGTAATGTAATTCAGAGGGTGTATTTAAAAGCCCATTTTGATTGAATAGCTCAGCTATATCCCCCAATTCTTTTTTTTTTCACTTAAAGGGCTGACTTTTAAACCTCCATCTGTCTGACTTTTGTCTCTCAACTGGTTTCAAATTTGGGAAGGGAAGAGGGGTTACTTTGGTAGCCCTTCAAACCCCCAGAAGTAGTTATCATTTACTGAGCACCTATTACGTGCTGGGCCCTGTATCCAATGACCTTGTTTAATCTCAAGGGAAATACAGTTACCATTTTGTATGATTCTGCATTATTCTGGAATGGAAGCTCGTCGGAATGAGGCCTTGGTCTGTTTTCACTGTTCTACTCTCAGCGCCCCAGGTGTTGCCTGCCATATCAGATGCTCAATACCTATTTGTTGAATGAACTTTTTAAATGAATGCCTATTTTATAGATGTGGAGACTGAGGCTCAAAGAGGTGATGTGACTTACCCAAGGTTACCCAGCTAGTAAATGGAGGAGTTGGGGTTGAAGCCTGGGCTGCCCGGCCGGGGCTTATGCTGCTGCCCACCCTTTTCCTCGGAGGCCTTCACTTCTTGCCCACAGTGGTTCCAGGCACCACCCAGACGCCACCTCTTCTGAGCCTGTCAGGTCTCCAGTGCCCAGAGAGTGACTCAGGTGCCTCGAGGGCAGGGAGGGGGTGATGCTTGACAGTGCCCTGCCCAGGCTCTGGGTGGAGGACATCAAGGTGTGGTGTGGAGTCCCACCTTCTGGGTCTGAATAGGGGCAGAGGCTTCTTTGAGGCCAGGGTTTGGGGCTGTCAGTGCCCCTGGGAAAGCATCCTTCGACAACTCACAGGAGGTGGGGTGAAGGCCTGCAGGAGCCATAAGGGAGGGCTGCGAGGGAGGTGGGGCCTTTGCCTGCCAGAATGGCTGGGTATCCAGAGAGGCAGCCTGTGTCCCTTCCCGTCTGCTGTGCCAGCCAGCCCACCCTGGGCAGCTGTATGGCCATCTCCCCTGGGACCTTGTGAGGCCTTCCAGCTAGTAACCCTGCTGGCAGGCCCTGGCAGGCCTGGGTTGGACTGGGTGTGGGTGTGGGGAGGCAACCCTGATCTGGGGCAGCTGGGAGCAACACCCAGCCTGGCTCCTGGGGACTCCTCAGTGCAGGGGAATACTTTTATCCCTGATGCTCCTAAAGCCAGGGTCCAATTACCTCAGGCAGACACAAGAGATAGGTTCCCAGCCTTAATTTCCACCCAATAAATTTATTCCCTGGTCTCTGATGTGTCAGGAACATTCCTGCCTCCAAAGGTGTGTTCTCACCATTCCCTCCTCCTGGAAGACCACCTCCCCTGCTTGTCTGAATGTTGACATTCCTTCCAGCTTAGGTCACAGCCATCCAGAACCTATTCAGCCCTGGGAGCTCTCCCTCCTCTGGAGCCTTTCAGCATCTCCTGTCTGTCTCTATTACTCACTTGGCACTCGGCTCGGGCTGCCTTGGTACAACAGCACTTGGCTTCTTATTGATGTCCTATTTCCTCAACTAGATTTTTAAAAATTATGTATATGAACAGTTATTATGTGCACATGCTTCAGAATTCAAAAGGTATCAAAGAGATTTATGAACAAGGAAAATATCTCCTTCATCTTGTTCCCCTCTTGACAGCCACCACTGTTAACTTGTTTGTTAATGTTTCCTTCCAGAGACGTCTACATATATACAGGTTGAGTATCCCTTATCCGAAATGCTTAGGACCAGAAGTGTTTTGGACTTCAGAATTTTTTGGATTTTGGAATATTTGCATATACATGATGAGATCTCTTAGGGATGGGACCCCCCCCAAGTCTAAACATGAAATTCATTTATGTTCCATATGTACTTTATGCACAGAGTCTGAAGGTAATTTTATACAATATTTCAAATAACTTTTTGCTTGAAACAAAGTTTGGGTATATGAGGTCAGGTGTGGAATTTTCCACTTGTGGTGTCAAGTCAGTGCTCAAAAAGTTTCAGATTTTGGAGCATTTCAGATTGTGAATTTTTGGATTAAGGATGCTCTACCTGTATGACTGTGTGTATACACATTTAGCATATGCTTTGTTCTACACCTTGTTTTTTCACTTAACAATAGATCTGGAAGATGGTCCATATCAGTACCTATAGCTATGCCTCATTCTTTTTGGTGACAAGATAATATTCCATTATATGGTGTACCATTATTTATTTAACCAGTCTGCTCTCAATGGGTATTTAGGCTGTTTCCTATCTTTTGCTATTAAAAAGAATGCTGCAACCCTTGTATATACTTCTTGGTGCATATGTATGACCGTAACTTCTTAGAATTGGAATTGCTGGGTCAAAGGGTATGCACCTTCGTTTTGATGTACCCCATCTTGCTCTGTTTAGATGTTACACCAAATTAACTATCTTACCACTACCAATTTATGAGAATGCCTGTGCCCACAGTCTTGCCCGTAGAATGTATTAAACTTTTTGATCTTTGTCCATCATCCAATAAGTGAAACAAAGTATTTTGTTGCAGTTCTTGTTCATAATTCTCTTGTTATGAATGAGATTGAGATTTTCATGTGTTTAAAAGCCAATACTTCCTTTTCTGTGAGCTGTCTGTGCCCTTTACCCATTTAAAAATTGCTTTGTCTTTCCTTAATTTGTTGGATTTTTTTGTGAACAAAGGAAATTAACCCTTTGTCTGCTAGATATGTTCCAGATAATTTCCCTCAGTTGTCGTTCGTCTGTGTCCCAACTAGATTTTCATCTCCTTGAACACAGGGACTGGAATTTAAACCTCTTTGTATTCCTATTCTTAACATAATATGACGCCACATACATGGTAGGTGCTAGACAAATGTCTGTTAAGAGAAGCAAGGAGAAAAAGGCAGAAATTTGGAAGATTTTGGAGTGACCTAATCTAATCTACTCCTTCCTCTTATATCAAGTATAAGCCTGTCTTTGCCCTCGTCTTTGGGTCAGTCAGGACTCTTGTAAACAGCAGAAGCTAACGCTGGCAGATTTTAAAACACCATCCACCCACCTCCCAATCAGCGAGATACTGGGTAGCACACAGGCTCAACGCAAAGGCCAGCAAACAGGGCTCAGCAAACACGCACCAAGGGAAGTGGGCAGCCAGCACCACCGTCAAGGTTAGGGCACAGGACAGCCTGTGCAAGAGACTCCTATCCCCTCCCCCCCCTGCAGCGACCGCCCCCCAACTCAGGCACTGGGGTCAACATTTCCTCCTCCAGACACTAGAGGATGCTCTGTTGGCTCAATTGCCGCCAGCAGGGCTGCAGAAATGAATTCTCAACTGCCCCTGCTTCTCTGTGACTTGCTCTAGATTCAAAGTCCCAGTTGGAACACCTGATTGGCAGATCTTATGTCTTTTACCTGCCTCCTTAAAGCTGAAAAGTCTGGACAGCAAGCCTGTGGCTTTGTGGAAGGTGGTGGCCTGCCTCCTATTAGGGCCCAGGCAATGGGAATTACCCAAAAGTAGGCAGGAGGTTCAGATGGTGGGTGGCCAAGAAAACTGGACAAATGCAAATCACCTTCTCTCATGTCCGGCTCGATCCCTTCTCTTTGGTGAAGTGTTCCTGGGTCACCTAACCTAAAATACTTTTCTGGACTCACATAATCATTATTGCTTGGGCCAATCATGATGCCAGAGAGGATTGTACTAATGACGTCTACTGTGTATTACTACTGTGTCTCCTCTGACTTTCAAACAACCCTAGGCACTACTTATATTTAGTGAGAAAAAACGGAGTCCTGGGAGGTCGTCCCAAGTCTCACAGCAGTGCCAGCTTGTAAACCCAGGTCTGTTTCCAAAGCCTTGGTGTTTCCCAGCAGCTGTACTGATGGGCTGGTATCTTACCAAGTTCCAGCTCTGTGAAGGCAAGGAGTGAGCCACATTCTTTATACATTCTAGAAGCATCTAGTTTGTGGAATGTATGCATCCTTTTTACATTCTGGAAGCATCTAATTTGTAGAAAGTGCTCAACTAATGCTTGTGGATTGGCCTGGATAATATCAAGCAGGAGCCAATTCTGGAAGGTTCTCTAACTCTCCCATGAGGCCTGAACCTGGGAATCATTTTGAGGTGGAACAGGCCTACTCAGAATCAGTTTGGGAAGACTGGAATCTGGAGAATTCCTTTTCACTGTCCCCTTTAACCTCACCTCCCCTAAATGTGTCAAAACTGTCAACAAAGAGTTTGCATCTGTTCCTTATTTTATCATCCAACAGGTATTTTTGAACATGACTGCTGCCCTAATGCACCTGTGAGAAAAAAGAAACAATCCCGGCCCTGTGAAATTTACATTCTAGGGGGAGGTAAACGGTAATCAAATAATCAAACCAATAAATGGTAATATGTGGCTCTGACAAGCGTGATGAAGGAAATGCCACGAGATGCTATAAAAGGCAGGTCTGACCTACTCAGGGAAGTCAGGGCAGCCTCTTTTGAGGACCTGGGGCTGAAACAGGGAGCCGAAGGGGAGGAGTTAGGCCCTGGGGGGAGTGTGTGAGTCCTAGAGGTGGGTGAGTAACCATGGATCATCAGCATGGTTATAAGAAAGGGACACAGGGACCTGGGGCTTGTTTGTGGGCTGCCCCTGCCTCTGTGTTTGTGCAAGTGCGTCACGCCTGGATGGAGGGGGCCGCTGTCTCCCAGGTCCCATCTGGGGATGACGTCGCCCTGGTGCAAGCCCAAAATAGCCGGCTCCGCCCCCATCTCCCGGCAGCCCCTGTACTCCGCCCCCGCCCCCCGGACAGGCAGAGCGGCCTTCCCTCCGTCTCTAGTAGCTTCCGCGCCGCTGACGCATGCTTGCGCGCACAGCTGGGCCGGGCGTCCTACGCAGCAGCCGCGAGCCGGGCTGCCGGTGCCAGACGGTTCCCGGCGGGGGGCAGGGGCGGGGCGCTGCAGGAGGCCGAGGACTCCGGGCGGAGGAGGTGCGGCCGGGACCTTTGGTCAGGCTGGGGGCCCTGGGCCCGGCTGCTGGAGTTAGGGAGCCCCGATAGGGCTCTCCGGGCCTGGGCACCGAGATAGCCCTTGGCCCCGGCCTGCGGGGCCGATAAGGCTGCCGGAGGGAGCCTAGTCACTGGCCGTAAGCGGAACCCGGCGGGCTCCGCTGCCACCTCGGAGCGCCTCCCGCTACCCCGGGGGTCTCCAGCTGCAGGCAGGGCTCTTGATTCTTTCTGCCTGACTCCTTCTCTCCTGCAGCCCCAAGGAGGCCTCCTGACGACTGACAGTTGCCATGGCATCCTACTATGAGATCCTAGACGTGCCGCGAAGTGCATCCGCTGATGACATCAAGAAGGCGTAAGTGCCTCCATGTGCATCAGAAAACCTCTCACCCTCCGCCGCCCACCACATGGGGCACTTCAGAGGGACACCTATAGGTGTCCAAGGGAACCAGGTCGTTAGAAAGCACTGGGGGGGCTCCCTCAGAGTGACACCTGTAGAGGGGAGGGAGACCCCTAGAAAAGCATAAGGGGAAGAGCCAGAGAATAAAGACGCTCTGCTGGGAGCTGCTCTGTGGGTCCTTCTCCAGTGCGCCTTCCCCTCGGTTCCCCGCTCCTCCCTGCTACTCCTCCCCCGACCCTGGCCCCTGGGCTTTCTCAGGGTGCAGTGCAGAGATGCCTAGGCTCTGTGAGGAGGAGGGGCCAGCGTCCCTGTACTCTTAGTGGCCACATGTACCCCCAACCTTTGCAGCCTGGTCCAGCGGCCCCACGGAGGGGTCAGGGCTGGGCTTTCTCACCCTTGCGTTACCAACTGCTCATACGTGAAGTCCCAGCGCTGGCGCCTGAGGAGGGAGAGAGGAAGTCCATTCACACATGGCAGCAGAGGCAGACCTGGCAGCGGGGGTGGCTGGGATCCAGTGGTGAAAGGACAATGTTGGGCTAGTGGGAAAATGGGTCGCTCAATTCCCTGGGGGGAAGTGCCTGCATTTGTGCCCTGACCCTCCCCTCTGAACCCACTTCCTGCAGGTATCGGCGGAAGGCTCTCCAGTGGCACCCAGACAAGAACCCAGATAATAAAGAGTTTGCTGAGAGGAAATTTAAGGAAGTGGCGGAGGCATATGAAGTGCTGTCGGACAGTAAGGGCCGGGGGCAAGGCGGGGCCCCGCGTACGACCCCCACTTCACACCCCATCTCACGCCTTCCCAAAGCCATGCCTCTGCCACCCCGGTCTTTTTCCAACCTGACATTTAAGTACCTCCCCCTTCCCCAGGGGCAGCTGAGCGTCTACTCCCCAGAGTCTGGTAGGCGTGGCCTGGGTCCTGGCAGGGGAAGGAAGCGGGGCAGGTAACCAGTGTGCGCTGAGCTCCCGTGTGCCAGGCACTGCCTGGTGTAATCTCCGTGAGTCCTCACAGCCACCCTACCAGGCAGGTTTTATCACTCCCATTTTACAGGTGAGGAAACTGAGGCTGAGAGGTGAAATAACTTGCTCAAGGCCACATAGAGCTGGAATATGAATCCAGGTCTGTCTTTTATTCATTCATTCAAAAAGAATTCACTGAAGGCTCTCGGTACCAGGCGCTTGCTGGGTACCGGGGAAACAGTGGAGGATAAGCAGGCATTTTCCCTGTCCTGAGGGTTACATTCTGGTCGGGGAGACCGACGCTAACCAGGCATACACAGTTTTAGATGGTGAAGAGTATTCCAAGGAGAGAAGTGAGTGATGTGATAGGGAGTAATGGGCACCTATTTTGTTATGGTGATCACAGAAGGCCTCTCTGAGGAGGTGACACTTAGGCTAAGCCCCGATTAATAATAACATGGTAATAATTAGCTAAGATTTATTGAACACTTCCTATATGTCGGGCACTATGCTTAGCAGTTTACATGGATTATCTCACTTGGTATGTGCAGTAACCTGTGAGGTAGGTGCTGAGATTACATTCATTTTACAGATGAGAAGGAGCCAGCTGTGTGAGGGGCTGAGCTGCTGTTAAAACCTTTGGCCTGTGTCCCTTGGGCATCCTGCTGCCCCCCAAGTGTCAGTCTCTCGGCAATCCTGTCGGGGTCCTAGTTTGGGAGGGGAGGCCATCATCCCAGAGGGAGGGAGAAATGACCTGGTCTCTCTTTGCAGAGCATAAGCGGGAAATCTATGACCGCTATGGCCGGGAAGGGCTGACAGGGGCAGGTAGGTGGAGGGGTGGGGCCCAGGGATGGAAGTGGGGCACGGAGGGGAGAGGGGGCAGATTCTTGTAGTGGATGCCTCTGTCTGAGGCTCCTGGCTGTGCCCTAAGCCCTCTCCTTGTCCTGCTTCTCCTCTAGGAACCGGCCCCCCTCGGGCGGAAGCTGGCAGTGGTGGGCCTGGCTTCACCTTCACCTTCCGCAGCCCCGAGGAGGTCTTCCGGGAGTTCTTCGGGAGTGGGGACCCTTTTGCGGAGCTCTTTGGTGAGTGGACTCATGAGGCCTCTGAATGGCTCAACTTCTCCATCTGGACCTGTCCTTTCTTGGGTTGGGAGCCCCTTAGGTGGGAGGCTGAGAGGGAAAGAGAATTGCACACACAGAAGATTTTGGGGGGCTGAGTCCAGTGAGAACTGGGACAGAACCTCACACATGCCAGAACCCACGTGACCCAATAGTGACACTTCACAGACTTGCCTTATCAAACGACAGCAACAACAGTACATTGTTAGATCTCCACAATAACAGCCGTGAAAGCAAGACTCAAAGCATCATGTGACAATAATAACATTACACATAGCAACAGATACCATTTTTTGAACGATTAATGTGTGCCAAGTATTTTGTATCCCCTAATCCTCTGTCGAACCCAGAGAGATGGGTAATTTTATCCCCATTTGCAGATAAGAAAATTGGGGCACAAATAACATGCTTAGAGTCACACAGCAAATGGCAGAGCTGGGACTTCCAGCTGTGTCTGCCTGTCATCACATCATGATTGCCTGCCTATAGTGAAAGAACACTCTGCCCTCCCTCGCTCCCTCTGTCTTTCCCTTCCCTCTTCCTTCCTTTATTCTTTATTGTGGACAGAACTAACCAGTGAATGTTTCCACTTGCAATGTTAGAAAGGAATTTAATTGGTAAATAAGCCCAACTAAAAATGGAAAAAAAAATCAGAAATGTACCCATTGCTTAGAAGTTTATATTTCTAGACTTAGAAGTGGGGTTCACACACCTTTGGGGGGAAGTCTTTTCACCAGATAACTGTTAATCTGCTTACTTGTTGCAGATGAGCTGGGCCCCTTCTCGGAGCTTCAGAACCGGGGTTCCCGACCCTCGGGTTCCTTCTTTTCCTTCTCTTCCTCCTTCCCCGGGCACTCTGGTAAGCACTGTCCCTCCCACTTTTGCAAGCTCTGAGTCCTGGGACCTCTGGTGTCAGCTTGTTACTTTTCCAAGCCTGTCTCCTGTATCTGGAGCCTTCCCTCTCGAAGCTGTGTGGGAGGCTCCACTGGGGTTCCTGGCCCTTGGTGGCTGCAGCAGGCAGTGTTACAGCCTTTGTCTAACAACCTCTCCTCCTCCTCCTTTGTCTCGATGCCAGATTTCTCCTCCTCATCTTTCTCCTTCAGTCCTGGGGCTGGTGCTTTTCGCTCTGTTTCTACATCTACCACCTTTGTCCAAGGACGCCGCATCACGACACGCAGGTGAGAGTTCCCTCTGGGGCCACACAGTGGGGCAGGGTCTGGGGTGGAGCCGTGAGCTGTGCACAAATAGAAGGTCAGCTCTTTGAGGGCAGGGCCCAGTCTGCACTGTCTAACGTGGTGGCCAGAGTGAGACCAGTGCCTGCAGGATTCAGTCTTTGCTTATTGCCTGAACTGTGCTGTCTCCCACAGAATCATGGAGAACGGGCAGGAGCGGGTGGAAGTGGAGGAGGATGGGCAGCTGAAGTCGATCACAATCAATGGTGAGGAGTGACTCTGCCACCCAGGCCCTGGCAGGAAGCCCCAGCCCCCGTCCCTAAAGCCCCCTCCCCAAACTGCTGCTCTCTGAACTCCCTTGGGGCTGGGAGGGAGTGGCAGCCGCGGGCCAGACTGGCAGGGTTGGAGATGGCGATCCTAGGGGGGAGTCTGAGAGGGCTGACTAATCACCATGACCACGAGGGGGGTGCCTTACATTTGCAAAGCACTTGCACACATGCGCCATCCCCTGTATTCCTAAAGCAGCCAGGGAAATAAGCAGGGCAGATGGTGTCCCCCAGTTTGTATTTGAGGAGACTGCACTGCACCATGCTTAAATGTCCCTAACTTCCAAGTAGCCCAGGCCCAACACTCTTTCCTACCAAACGAGGGATAAGCCAGGAGTCAAACTCAGGATGCACGATTCTTGGAGTGGAACTCTTCGCTCAACACCATGCTGTGCGGGGTTGCCTCCATGGCTAACCTTTCATGTCTACCGACCAAGCACTTCACATGGGTTGTCTTATTTAATCACTGGAACAATTTGAGTAGGTAGGCACTATCCTTATCCCACTTTAAAAATGAGGAAAGAGGCCAGGCGCGGTGGCTCAC